CTATTGACCTTTGACCCCCAGCTTCGACATCCCAACTCGTTTTCGGATTACCCCCCACGTCCCGAATAACGTGCCCGTACGTCGAGCCGTTTAGATTTGTGCCCAACTGTTGACGGACGCACGCACGGACGCACGGACTCACAATCATGCGATTCTACAAGCTGCATCTGACTATGTCAGATGAGCTAAAAAAGGAAAAAGGGGAAAATAAGTTCCCCAGCTGGGACTCGAACCCGGAATCCCGGTGTAGGAGACGGATGATCTAGCGATTACGCCACTGCGCCGTTAAGGGTATACACCATGGATTCACACGTACGTGATGTTGATCTGTACGCATCGCCATCTATTAATGAATAGAATTTTGATCAATTTTTAACTTTTTAACTTTTTAAAATTTTTGTTTCTGCCAGAACCACCTCACAGACATGCTGATTCTGAAAATATCTTTAGTTTTCCTCTAGGCTGCGGAGTTCTCTAGTTATGCGAGTACGGACTAATTCGGCTGAACAACTTTATATATATAGATTTTCCTCTAGGCTGCGGAGTTCTCTAGTTATGCGAGTACGGACTAATTCGGCTGAACAACTTTATATATATAGATGATTGTGTTTCACGATAAGTCATTATATTTTCTCACAAGGGAAATGAATTCTATAGTAGGTGATTGTGTAATTATTGGCTATGATGAAAAATAAAAGCACTTGCAATAATGCATCACCAGTCAGTATCGTACCGAATCGTCTGCAGTAAACTCCCATGATGGCAGACTCCTCGACCACTCTCATATCGCACATTAATGCCAACTCAAGTCCTCCTGCTACTGCGTAGCCATCTATTGCTGCTATAACAGGTTTTGAAATGTCCATTCTTGTAGGGCCCTGTCACGAAAATGACCATCTCCCTATATGGCTTCCAATTATTTAAATCTTAGCTATACTTAATTGTATTAATTAATGTAACAAGTGCCGCGGAGCGACAGTGCTCATCTAACGTCTACTGCGGTCACTCTGTGGTGGAGTGGTGGGATTCTAGTAAACCCTGTTAGTCAAAATGTGTTCTGACTACGTCAGATGAGCTAATA